GTTTAGGGTTTTAAGGTTTAGGGTTTTAAGGTTTAGGGCTTTAAGGTTTAGGGTTTTAAGGTTGAGGGTTTTAAGGTTTAGGGTTTTAAGGTTTAGGGTTTTAAGGTTTAGGGTTTTAAGGTTCAGGGTTGAGGGTTGTGGCCTGAAGCCTAAAACCCATAAACTCAAGACGATGCATGGATGAAATCCTATACGAAACTCCCAGTATCCCTTAGTAAGCCCTAGAATAATCCCCTATATACTTCCCTATATAACGCCCCGTGCAGGGGTGTAGACTAGACCCTAAACCCTAAACCCTAAACCCCTAAACCCTAAACCCTAGCACAGATCCTAACCCAGACTGTTCTGCGCAAAGGCATCCTGAGCTCTAAACCTGTTTTGGGGTTTAGGGGTCTAAGGGTTAAGGGTTTAGGGTCTAAGGGTTTAGGGTCTAAGGGTCTAAGGGTTTAGGGTTTAGGGCCTAAGGGTTTGTAGGTGTTTAGGGTATGACTCCTAACCCTAAACCTGTGTAGGCCTTAGGGTTTTTTTGGTTTAAGGGAGCCCTTATAATCCTCACCTGGATGTCTGGGTATGTACATGTAGGTTTGGGTGTTATAGGTTTGTTGGCTTACGGCTTGGGCTTCAGGGGGTTTTGGGGGTCTAGGCCTTAAGCTGCTGATGAATGCTTGACCAGCTGCGGGCTGTGGTCGGCCATTGGTGCCTGCAGACAGAGGCAAGGTTAAGGGTTTAGGGTTTTCAGGTAAACTAAACTCGAATCCGGGAAACTTAAAAGACAATGAAGACCTCCCTAGCCTAAACCCACCAAATTCAAATTTGATCCTGGAACCCAAACCCTCCAACCAAAAAACGACAATCGTTCTTACACAGTCCATCAAGACGAATCGTCACGATCTTGTTAAGGCTTCTACAGTGCAACTCGTGTGTTCCTACCCCCAAAGCCCCCCAACCAGGTTCCAACTTGAACCCTAAACCCTGAACCCTAAACCCAAATGAAGTCAGGGAAAAATGGTTAGGGAAGGAATCCAACCCTGGACCCTGCACCGTGAACCAAACGAACCCAAGTCCCTAAAGGTAAATTTCTAAATCCAACTCCCTCATCCCCAAACCCTAAACCGAACACCCCAAACCTCTAAACCCCACACCCCAGACCCTAAATCCCAAACCCCTAAACCCAAATTTCTAAACCAAAATCCCTGATCCCCAAAACCTAAACCCCACACCCCTGAACCCGTAAGCCCTGAACCCCAAAACCCTGAACCCCCAACCCCCACACCCTAATCCTAAACCATGAATCGTAAATCCTACATCCTAAACCCCACACCCCGGAACTCTAAACCCCTAAACCCGGCCTGGACTCACAAGGCTCATGGCGACCCCGAGCAGCGAGGGAAGCTCAGAGCTTTCCCCCCGCAACTTGAGCCCAGCTCTTTTGGGATTTAGGGTTTAGGATTTAGGGTTAGGGTTCAGGATTTAGGGTTTAGGGCTTAGGGTTTAGGATTCAAGGTTTTGGATTTAGGGTTTAGGATTTAGGGTTTAGGGGGAGGGTTTAGGACTATAGTGGTGTTATATTGGGGTTTAGGGTTCAGGGTTTAGGATTTGTGGTCAGGAGTGTAGGGTTTAGGGTTTAGGGTCATGTAGGCGTATGTAGGGTTTAGGCATTACGGGTTCAGGTTCAGGATTCAGGGTTCATGTAGGGGCTATATAGGGTATATGGGGTCATATGGGGTATAAAGGGGTTTTATAAAGAGGGTGTGTGTGTGTATATATACAGGCTTATTTAGGGATGAGTAGGGTTTCTAGGGGGTTTGGGGTTTAGGACTCAGAGCTTTGGATTTTGGGACTGAGTCTTCGGGAGGCCTTAGCACTGAGGGTTTAGGGTTCGTGTCCGAGGTTTTGAGGGAACTTTGCCAGGCGTTACCTGTTTGCTTTCTGTCCCTGCCCTAAATAAACTCTAAACTCTAAACCCTAACCCTAAGGCTTCAGGCTTCAGGATTTAGGGTTAGGGTTCAAAACTATGGGTTCCAGGATGTAGGATTTAGGAATTAGACTTTAGGACTTAAGGTTTGGGGGGGAACACGGAACTTGCGACTTAAGCCTTAGCAGTTCAGGGGTCTGGGAATCTGGACCGCTAAGCCCCGGCTAGAGTATTTGAAGTTTAGGCTTCTATGGCTTGGAGATTTGGGGCTCAGAGTTTTGTTCGTCCTCCTTTTTGTGTGCTTGATTGGGCTTCTCTTCCAAGAACATCGCAAGTGTCTCACAACAGTAACTTACACATGAACCTCAGATGGTGCTATCACCATGCGGATGTTTTCACAACAGATTCCTGGAAGAAACCTTTGGACGTCAGCAAGCAATGGGAAATAAGTTGTAGGGTCCTTTATGGAAGACTATATAGGGACTACTCCAGTTCATAAGGCGGTGGATTAGGGTTAGCTCTCATATCGTTGCCACCTTGTTATAACTTCAGCGTCAAAAGCTGGAGGGCCTGCGATACCCAGTTGATTAATTTCCATAAGGGTCCAAGGACCCAAACAACAAGGTTTTAGCGCCCAAATACTGAAATATTAATTGTATTTGGGCCCTCAAACCTTGTTATTCGGGTCCTTGGACCCTTAGGGTTAGGAACAGGATGAAACCCAAAACGCACTAGAAAGGCATTGCCGGCCGGTGCTCCTGGCATACACAAGTGGATCCATCCCCCCTGACACATTCCTAAATCCCAGGTAGACTGCTTTTCCAGGTATAGGGTTTCGGGTTGGGATTTCAGGTTTAGAAAACCAAAGAGACCGCACACCCTACAAGAACTCACTCAATTACCCACTGCGCAGAGGGCTATATAACCCTTTTGGTGGATATCTGCCAGGGTGGGCTCTAAGTTTCACGAAAAGATTGTGGACGGGAACACTTGGGAGAGGCAGGGGTAGAAGCGTCTAATCACAGCAAGTTCATTTTGAACCACTTTGTGTGCCCTCGCCCAAACCACAAAATCGAGCCCCAAAAGTGCACCATGAAGACTACAGTCCTTCCAAAATGCGACTGCATAATTGCATGTTAGTTTGGGCGGGGTACTCTATCACCTTACTTCTTGAAATCTGAACCCTAAACTACAACCGAAACCATAAATGCTGAAGCCTAAGCCCTGAGACCAGTCCCCAACTATAAACATTGAGGCGGACATGTGCGCGCCAGCCTGAGCAAGAGGCGGCTTGCTTGGGCAAAGAAGCCAACATGTGACGCAGGTGACCTCAGTTTAGTGTTGAGGGTTTTGTTCAGTCTTGAGGTTTTAGAGTGTAGGGTAGCTTAGTTTAGGCTTAGGGTCCAGTGTTTAGCGTTGAATCTGCACCCCACGCTCCTGTCTGCTACCACCCCCTCAAGTTCCGCCTTATACACTTCTTAATCGGGCGGAAGAGCTTTGATGAGGAAAACCTGGGTTTAGGGATTGTGTGTTTGGCATATCCCGGGGCTTTCTTGCCGTGTTTTCGAAGGAAACCACCCCAGACGACCTTAGTTTTTGACGGCTCCCGGATTAGCAAAGGGCTTAGGGGAATTGAGTTATTCTCAAAATTATTTGCCCCCTTGGGTTATGGATTATGTTACGGCATCTAATATAAATATTTAGGGGTACCAAAATTGGACCGTAATTTTGGGACCTACCCAATTTAGTCCTGACTTGGCTCAGTCTCTTTACCCCCGAAGGAGAAGCAAAAATCCTGAAGATACTTAGGATTACTTAGGCAAGGAAACCCAAGCCCAAGGAGCATGATGACTGACCCTAAACTTTTTGAACCCTAAACCCTAAAGCCTAAAGCCTAAACCCCTAAACTCTGAAACCCTCTAAACTGTAAACCCTGAAGCCCCCACCCCCTAAACCTTAAACCCTAAACCCTGAAACCCCCAAGCCCTAAACCTTAAATCCTACACCTTAAGCCCTAAACGTCCAAGGGACTCCAGCTGTTCGAAGCCATGGACCGCTTCTTCGATGGAGAGCACGCCATCGCGGTTCTGGGAATCCAAGGCACCCCATGGTTTAGGGTTATAGGCTAAGGGTTAGTTTCAGGGGTTAGGTTTAGGGATTAGGGTCTGAGGTTTAGGGCTTGGGGATTAGGGTTTAGCGCCTCTAGGGCTTTGGATTTTGGTTTGAGGGTCTGGGTCTATAGTGTGGTTTGAAATTTATGCGAAGGGCAGATGCAATGGAGACAAGGAAGCCAGACTCCACAAGTCCGCATGGTATTGATGGTTGTCAACACCAGAACTGTAAAGACTTAAGCACTTGCACCGATCCCTAAACCCTATAAACTTCTCAACCGAGCACCCCATCCAACAACACCCTAGATTACGAACCGTTAGTGTTACCGAATGCAATGCCACATTCAGAGCCTAAACCCTACAGGATATAGTCCCCGTTAGGTAGATAGGATATGGGGTATATGGAGATCTTGTTATAATATAATATACCCAAAGCCATATTCTATCTACTTAAGGGGGACTATATTACACGGTCATGATTCTGACTCGACTCTTTCCCTACCCAGAAAAGTGCCAAGGGTGTAGGGCTCAAGGTTTAGGGTTTAGGGCTTAGGGTCTAGGCTGTAGGGGCAATCGTTTAGGATCAAGCTTCCAGGATTTAGGGTTGGGGGAGATATAAATGTATACTACAACAGTCCTGGACATATTCTTTGAAAAGCATGGTGGGTTCCGGTAAACGCCTAGACCTACACCCCTTCAACTTAAACTCAGAGCCCGAATCTAGCTCCTTAGGGCGGTAGCATGAACTAAAACTGTAGCTATACTTCAAGCCAGGACCTCGACTGTGTAGCTGTTTGTATTACTTTTTCCATTTGCGATATGCGGGATTTCCTGGGTCATCCTATTATTGCGAATTGCCACATAAGCTCTGAGCGAACCCCAAAAACCTAAATCCCCCGAACCCTGAACCCTTAACAAGTGTTACTTGGATGATCTCTTCACTTAGCAAATCAACCTACTATCCGAAATACCCCCGATTATAAGCCCTATAATAGCCCAAGTTGCTAAGTAGACTTACCAAGTCAGGAGATCCTCCAAGTGCTCGAAGCCTCATCGAACTCCTGGAAGAAGCGCCACAGGGCCGTGTGGGGAGATCGATCTTCAGGCTTCGCCCAAGCGACGATGCCTCAGAGGGTGCAGGGTTTGGAGTTTGGGGTTGAGGGTTTTAGGGTTTAGTGTAGGGTTTGGAGTTTAGGGTGGAGGGTTTTAGGGTTTAGTGTGTAGGGTTTGGAGTTTAGGCGACTTGGGGCTTTATTGGCTTGGAGGTTACCTAGACCCCAAAGCAGGCAAATGATGTAGGCACCACGATGGAGAGAGCCAAGCCCAACCACCTTGTTTTGCTTCTTCAGGTCTCATATACTTGGGATCGCAGCGGGAAGCATGATTTTGACAACCCTTCATCTACGCAAGGCTCAGTCCAATCATCGTCAGCGGACCTGTGCGCCGACTGGTATGGATAACGGGTTTTCAGGGCCCAGATACCATTGATATTCTACTTGGGTCCTTGGACCCTTAGGGAGGGATATATAGGGATTATATTGGGATAATGGAAAATAACATGGAAACTACTATTTAGGGTTTAGGATTTAGGGTTTAAGGTGCGCCCCCAATCTTCCACCTCCCGTCCCTGGCTCCGCCACAACACCTTGGCCAAGGCTGTCTTGCCTTCGCGCACAGCGTCATCCCATGGCCACCCGAACCAAGAGGCAGCGCAGTCACGCCCAAGTATAATCCCCTTAAGTAGATAGAATATGGGGTATATGGGGTCTTATTATAAGTATCAATACTATATCTACTTAAGGGGGACTGTAATTCTCGTGGATAGCAACCTGTCTTTCGGGTGTCTCTGCGACATGTGAAACATGAGTGGTCCAGCCTGTTAGGACAACCATTCATACAGGCACGACAACTGGGATCCCAAAACCAAATACCCTAGAGCTGGAAGGCCAAAATCTTAAGCTTTGAGTCCAAGGCTCCAATAACCCTGAAACCCCCACACCCCGCCTAAAATCCCCAACCCCCATAGCGCTAAACACGCTTCGCCCGTCACTTCACAGAAGCCCGTTCAACCTGAAAACATCACAAAACCTTATACAGGGAGTACTAGAAGGATCCCCCAAACGGTGCAAACAAAAAACACAAAAAATGAGGGTCTCAGGACCATATAGGTTCAAGCGTTTGAAGCCCAAAAGGCCATTGGTCGGCTCTTTGGACCCTAAACTCTGAAGCCTAAACCCTAAACCCTTTGTTCCTCGGACACTAAAGTCTGAACCCTTAAACCCCAAACCCAAAACCCTTAAGTGAGCCCTAAACTTACGTTTGGTAAGCTAGGAATGAAGGAACGGATCCTAGTAGTCGTCCCTTAACCCAGTATAGTACTTTCCATGCTCTTTTCCATTCCTTCTAAACCTAAATCCTATATAACCCATGATAAACCATTATACTCCAGTAGTTTACAATGTTCTTTTCCACTCCTTCATTCCCAGCTAACCAAAGGTCAATAACCCTCAAAACCTTGGACCCTTGAACCTTAGGCGGGGCAAGGTGAAGGGTTTTAGGCTTTGGAGTTTAAGGTTAGGGGTTAGGGCTTAGGGTTCAGGGCTTAGGGTCTACCTGGGCCCAAAAAGTATGTAAAATAATGGCCTTTATGGCTATTATTATGGGTTTAGGGCTATTATTTTACATACTTTTGGGGTTTAGGTAGGGTTTAGGGTCAGGGTCTAGGGTTTGGGGTTTACGGCTTAGGGTTTGGGGGTTTAGGGTTCAGGGTTTAGGGTTAGTATGCTCAGCTGCGGCCCGGAAACGCTGCCGCAGCTCCGCCAGCTCATCTGCCAAGGCAGGGTCAGGCAGGTCCTCGAGGTTTGGGGCTTAGGATTTGGGGTCTAGAATTTAGGGTTTAGGTTTAGGATTTGGGGTTTAGGGCTTAGGGTTCAGGATTTGGGGTTTAGGGTGCAGGGTGAAGGGTTGAAGGGTTTAGGGTCTGCGGGTTTGGACTCTTTAGAGGGTTCGGGGTTGAGTGTTGAGATCCTAGAAGCTTACCATTCTTGAGCCCCGAGAAAATCCATGTAATGGGATGCTGGTGTAAGGTCGATGGAAATCTCTATATACGTCGACATATACATATGCATATGCATATACATATACACTTCTGTTGCGGATGTAAAGTGTAGGGCTTGCAGTTTAGTGTTTTCATTCTATGTTGGGTTGAGGTATAGAGTCTCCCAATTGGACACCCACATCTACAATAGGTCTAGTAGTCTCTAAGGAAAGCTGCATACAATCATCTAGACCACAAATCAAGACCTGTTGTGCGTATCAGGTTGATTTCGCAGGGGTCGGGCGCATCGCCGCGGACGAAACAACTTGACTTCTTCTTTTAGTTTTTGGTTCAAGGTCTAGGGTGTGAGGTTGAAAAAAAGCGTAACGTCGATCCAGTGCAGGTCAGGGTCAGAGCCCACGCAGTACCTGCCCTTTTTTCCTTGCAATCAGCCTGCTAACACCCACCATCACCTTTTTGGGTGACTTGCTGCCTGATGCTCCTTAGGGAATGGAGGAATGAATCCAAATGGTAGCGCCCATAATATCCCCCATAGTAGTCCCCATAGCCTATAGTAAACGCTTCCACCCATTCTGGAAATTCCCTGAACCTAGACAACACAGAAATTTCTATTTGCGATCCCATACATCCAATCCCTACACCCTAAACCCTATGCCACCATTCCCTACTTCACAACAGGGAGTTTGAGGCTCTGCAGCCAAGCGGCCAGTGGAGGCACAAACCCGAGAAGGCGGTCTATCACGGTGCCAAAGGTGAGGTCCTTTAGGGTCAAGGTTTTAGGGTTTAGGGTTTAGGGTTTAGGTCCAGGGCTTACATTCTGGGACCCTGAGGCTACTAACGGGTTAGGGAACGTACGTGCTTAAAACAGGCTACAATTGGGTGCTTCTGGGATTATTGAAAAGTACAGGCATACAGACTGTCACTGACTGCAGGGTCCCTCAAACTTATAGGGTTTAAGGTGTGGGATTTAGATTTAGGGTTCAGTTTTTAGGGTTTAAGGTTTAGGGTTTAGGGCTCGGGGATTTTGTCTACCCTGACCCCAGAGACTGGATGGACTCTATCACCATCTGACCCGTATTGAAAGTATAAGGCTTAGGTTACCCGTCCTTCTGAACTTCAAAGGGCGGCCGAATGAGTCCTGGGATTTAGGCCCTAAGCCCTCAATCCCTTGAAATACCCCTGAGTTCCTGAACCCTAGATGTAAACTCTTGGTTCAAATTCCTAAGCTCCCCAACGCTGAACCCCCAAACTCCCTAAACCATAGCCCTGAACCCTAAACCCCAAACCCCCAAATCCCCCAAACAATACCCTGAGCCCCAAAACCTAGACCCCCCCAAAATCAGGAATATAGTCCTTTTTAAGTAGATAGAATATGGCTTTGAGTGAATTATAATAAGATCCCCATATACCCCATATGATATCAATTACAAGGAGGACTATGACCTGAAAACCCTGAAGCCCCTGGGCTCCGCCATCTCGGGCGCTATTCGTCGGCTCACTTCGGCCGCCTATCAGAGTGGAGTTTAGGGTTTAGGGTTCGGACCCCGAAAGTATGTAAAATAATGGCCTTTATGGTTGTTATTATGGGTTTAGGCCTATTATTTTGCATACTTTTAGGGTTCAGGTAGGGTTTAGGGTTTTGGAATCCCCGGCAGAGCCAGACTTTGCAAAAAGGGGTACTTCGATGATCGTTTGACTTACTATTCCTGGTATCCCTACCCCAAAACATTACATAGGGGCTACTATCAAGATCCACTCGCTCATGAATTGCTAGCCACAGGCAAGATTGACATTGGCTGTTACCCAAAGCCACCTGATGCCTGCCAGTTTACCTGAAGTTCTGTTCCCAAAAAGACAAGAGACTCATACAAGGCCCTGTTCATATGTTGCAAACCTACATGAAACATACGGAGCGGTATACGTAATACCAGTTTAGGGAAACGCCGTGTACGCTACCCCAACGTCCTAAATGGCAGCATACACTAGTATGTCCTCAAATTTGTTTTGTTTGACATATTTGGCCCCTACAGTAAGCCATAGACCGTAAACCCTAAACCGCAAACCTGACCCTAAACCTTCAACCTTACACCGACGCCCTGGAATTATCTAATATGTCATATTCTCTCAGGTTGTGCAATTTTAAGGGTGTAGGAGTTAAGGTGGAAACACGCTTGGGTCCCACAAAGTACTGCGGGATGCCTCATTCATAGGTATTTCTCAGAACAACAACCCCTGCTTCCCAAGAAGGATCCCAAAAAATCCGCTTATGATCCCTATGTGCATATACCCCTTTCAACCCTAAACCCTAAACTCTGAACTTTGCACCATGACTGAACCCAACCCTAGGCCCTAAACCCTAAACCCTACACTCACTAAGAACCTGGTCGTCCGACAGCTGCGGAAGCAGCAGTTTCAGAGCTTGCTGCAGCTCCTGGCTCAAGGGGTTTAGGGTTTAAAGTCCCCCTTCAGTAGATAGAATAGGGGGTATATTGGGATCTTATTATAATACCCGAAGCCATATTCTATCTACTTAAGGAGGACTATAAGGGTTTAGGGTAAAGTAAAAAGCGGAAAGTATCCGAATATCCACAAAAACGACGCCTTTCTGTTTATGGGCACATTGGATATTCCAAGTAGGATTCGTGGTTGGCTTAGGGTTTGGAGAGTGTACTACAGTAGGGGCCCAAATAATTGCCAATATTATCTTGAGGACCATTTGAGGTACCATATACTATAAGTATACGAGGAATATGGAACCATAATATTGGTAATTATTTAGGCCCGATATTAGAGGTTTGGGTTGAAGGTTTGCAAGGCTATCAGCGAAGGGCCTTGTGTTTATGATGCTTTGGGTTTGTAGCGCACTGGAGGCTTGGACCTGACATTTGCTTAGAAGAATAGGATGTCAGCTGAAGCATCTGGATTCGGGCTTCGCAGTTTGGAATCTGGCTAACGGGGGGGCAGTACGACCTGAGTGAAGCGGGCCTGAACACCCTCCCAACAAAATTGAAAAACCGGAATAGGAAGGTATATTCAAAAACACCAGTACTATCTATCATCCCAAGCGCCCAAACACCCAAAAATCACACACTTCTCCGAAATCTGCACTACAAGTACCAGTACCCGAAACAGAAGTACCCAGTTAGTCTGACGTCCAAGCCCTAATATGGGCCCCTGTAATTTGTTTCATGGTTTAATTATGGGCCCTTAACTGAGCTTGTAGGGCTTTGCAGGGTGTATGATATAGGTATATAACGACCCTCGGATTTAGGGACCATGCTGGGGGCCCGTGCCGTAGTTCCAACTTTTGCAATATTGAACACGTCGTGGACAACTGGCGCTCTTGCTCTAAACCTTAAGCCCCTGAACCTGGCTTTGGTCTGATGTGGACCTCTGAAGATTCTATGAATCACCTAACCACCCCACCCTATACTACTCTCCTTGGGTTGAGAGCTCCGCCTTAACTAGGCTTATTAACACGAACCGAAATGAAGTAAGAGGAACCTTGGGGGTAGTATAAGTGGGCGGCTGGGAAAAACAACGAAGAGTGCGTCGCCGCTGTAATCCGTAGCCCGAAATTACACGAGGGATCCTATATCCCAGAAAGGGAATTCAGAGATTCGGGATATCCCCATATGTCGTTTTTTGCTCAGCTCAGCGTACATTATGGGAAAAAACTGGAAAAGTCTTCTCTTTTTCTGAGTTTGTGCTTCGAAGCTTCCACACATACATGAAAATATTCCGGTTGCGCAAGGGGACTCATTTTCCTGTAGGGATCAGCAACTGCCTGCGCTCGGCAATTGGCTCTTGTGGCCACCAGGATCCTCAAGCAGTTTCGGTTATTGCAATCTGTTTGACCCTTGAAATCCTACACCTTAAGCTCGAAAGCCCAAGGCCCTGGACCCTGTACCATATATACTACTAGCCCAAGCCCCAAACTCTAAACAATTCACCGCGGAACATGCGCAACATTCCAAACTCGCCTGTTGCGCGGATGACGTTCCGCCCTGTGGCCTCTTCATCTGTTACCTGTACCAGCGGATCATCCCCAAATGCCACAGCCAGGTTAACGAGATCGCCAAGCCATATACCATGGACAGCCCGTGGCCCTTTTTAGTTGCCTCGTGCAAGCTATTGTCTGAACTCCGGGTATCCCTTTTAATAACCCTTCTAATAGCCCCCTATAATCCCCTATATAAGCCCGTTTAGGAGGCTCATGTGGCCTTCCTCTCCCACAGCATGGCGTGGATAATTGAGGCCAAACAATCCATCCCATCCGAATGCAGCACCACGATCGTCGTGAAGCTGTAGCTCTCCAGCAAGAGCCGAAGCACCATGACTAAAGTGGTCCGCAAGCTTCTTGGTAGATGTCGGCAGAAACGCTGGGCCCAGTCGATCAAGTGTGCAGATTGACTGAGATGCCGCACTTCAATGCAATTTGCCAGAGTGATCATGGTTCGAGCATGACAGTGCACCACTGTTTGTAGGGTTTCACCGGAAAGTTCCCCCAACGGAATGAAGGCAGCTCCGGGCTGCCAAGCGAAATGCCTCTCGGCCAGCGCCCGAACGGCCTGATCAGACCAGGGCCCCGGTCGGCAAAAGCAAGGCGCCGACACCTCATCGTTGTCGAAGTCGGTCCCAGGAAGGTCCAATTCATCGATGCGCTCCAGGAAATCTTTTAGGGTATCCAGTCTCCCCAAGCGAACATTCAGAAAGTTTTGCCATGCTCAACCATGCGAGCACTCAGCATTCGGGCGGCAGAGATGCAGAGCTCAAGATGCACAAGTGGAGACATCTCCACCTGGGACACAGCTTGAGTGGAAATGGCCCTAGTCATTGGCAGATTATATGATGATATATGTATATACTGTTTCCACATGTTCTGTTTCGAGGGAGAGCCATCTGCATGGTATGCACCTGGAGTGCGTCGAGCCTTCTGAGTTTGACCACCTTGACGAATCAACGGTGCACGTTACCTTGAGATGTAGCATCTGCATGATCACCAATATCATGGTGAGGCCTATTGGAGGCAACTTTTCTATACCGTAATGATCTGGAGGAAGCTAGGACTTTAATGTAGGTGATTTAGGGTCTGTATCCGATTTTTGTCTTGTGCCTTGTCAAGTCTCGAGACGCTGGAAGAGGAATGGACCGTGAAGTCTACGCCATCCACCCCAGCAATAGAATCCAAAGAGTCTTGCTCACAGTAACTAACCTGCCCTGACAGGCCGAATAGACCCCCAAATAACCCCACAGAGTGGTAGAGGAATTTCTCAAAGTTGGGGCAAGTTTATATAGGGTTACTGGAAGGGATGATAATGGGATCTTTGGATCAGTTTTAGGGAGTAAGCCCGTAGACATGCTTTTGCACACAGAAGCCCCAGAATCGTCAGGGAAATACCACCCTAAACTAAACTCTGAATCCACCCTCATATGACTTAGTAGAATGATATCCTATACTGTGATGTGTGTGTGCAAATCAAGCCATGCAGCTGAAACCTACCCTACTGTAATGGACCCTGGAGTCATAAAAGCCCCAGATGTTCATTGTGTAACCCTTGACAAACCCTAAAACCCTAATGTTGCACTCACTTCGCTGAAGTGGCCCTGTTTAGCGTGCTTTCGCCGGCCGCCGCTTACTCAGAGTCTGGCCATTGTTGGGAAGACCCTCTTTAATGTATTTGTTTTTGAGGCCCTGAAAAACGGGACCGAATCAAGACCATCCCTTTAAAGTAATCCCCAACGCCTCTCTTGGCCCTCAGTACCGTGGGAGCCTTATTCAGAGTCACTATTTGTAATTTTCTGGGTGCCGTATTGTTAGGGGGGAGGGGGGGGGAGGGTGAGGGGGGGAGGTGTATGGAGTTTAAAATGTGTCCAACCTTAAACCCTGAAAATCCTGAAAACCCTGAAGCCCTAAACCCCAAACCTTAAAGCCCTAAAGCCCTAAATCCTGAACCCTAGACCCTGAACACCCAAAACCCTCACACCCTAAAACCCTAAACCGGGGTCCAACAAAAAAAGCGCGGGTGCCTGGACCGAAACAAGGCCATCTTGGCTGAGGTCGAAAATTGCGTGCAGGCCTTCAGCAACTTTTAGGGTTTAGGGCGTAGGGGTTCGAGGTTTAGAGCTTAAATTAATGTTTAGGGTTTTCAGAGTTTAGGGTGCTACCTACTCGGGGGGCCCTTTAAAGGGCTTCCGCTAAGGGCCCAATAAATAGGGGTATTCAGCTTTTGGGGTTTGCAGGGTTTAGGGTTTAGGCGTTTAGCGGGTTTGGGGTTCTAGGGTCTATAGGGCTTAGGGGCTGAACCTTTAAATGACAACCGCCCTGGAATCTACAGCCCAAAATCCCAACCACAGACCCTAAACTGAATGTTTCCAGCGTTGAGAGGGATGAGGGAGGATTTGTGCATTTGGTATTTGGGACCCTAAGCCCTAAACCCTAAACCATCCACAGCTTGCAGGAGTTTAAGCCTCTGCAAGGGGGTATATGGAACCCCATATAGAGTGGTTTGTGTTTTTTTGTGGGACCTTTTCTCCACTGTCCATGCAGTAGAGAATGCTTTACAGCGAGGGTTTGGGGTTTAGGTTTTAGGGCTTAGTTCGTTGTAAGCCGAGCGGATTACTCGCTTGGGGGTTGCTAGCGGCAAAGCACTGAGGCTACAGGGGCTCTAAGTAGATAGAAAAATGGGGAATGCAAAGAAAAAGCATATGGACAATCAAATGGAAACTACTCAATATGAGCTAGTCTAAACTCCTAGTATCCACCTTAGTAAGCCCTATAGTAGTCCCCTAGATAATCCCCTATATAACCCCCTTTCAAGAGTGTAGACTATAGCTCATATGTAATTTAGGGGTTAGGGATAACGCGCCAAGGTTTGAGGGCTTTAGGTTTAGGTATGCTCTTCTGGAAAAGAAATCTGAAAGTCAATAAAAGCACGGTTTGAGAAATTACGGACCGCGACAGGAGGGGAGGTCCCCCATGGGGGGAATTTCTGAGAAGTTTAGGGTTCAGGGTCCAGGGTGTATATGGCTGAAATCACTAGTTGGTGTCCTTGATAGATGTACTTCAATTCAAAAGACTTTCTCTACTGGCACATGCTAGAGGAGGACGACTTACTCTGCATGCTTGCAAGTCAACAAATACGAAACCGCCTTGCCCAAATACTAACCTCCCGAGCCCTAATGATAAGTATTCCCTCGAAGCGTACTGGCACACAATGGCACAATGAAGGCATAATCCCTAAAAAACACTACATAATCCCAGTTTCCATTTCATTTTCCATTTTCTTTTCCATTTGATTCTCCATTACCGGGAATGTTTAGCACTGACGGCGGAGGGCCATGCTGAGGCTGCTAAGGGTCCCACAGGAATGCTTGTGGATCCAGCAGGGTCCGGTACTCCGCTCAAAAGAAAACAGCACACACGTCGCAGTTATACGAGGACACCGCCCCACCCCCCCCAAAGAAACACACACAAGAGTTCTAGCTCTACGATAACACTGTAGGTAGCTGGAGTCACAGGTGAGGCGTAGATGACGCAGAAAGGTTAAAGCAAGTTCCTGCAGTTGACCCACCCTTGCAGTCGACCCACCCCGGCGTGAGTGTTAGAGTAGGCCACTGAAAGTGTAAAATCCCAACCTAACCTTTAACCCTAAACCGTGTGCAGTTGCTGGACGGTTAGGTCATCTTCTGGCAACCTGTGCCTCCAAAAACAACCTGTTCCTGCAGTCTAGTGTTGATGCCTCGAGCCCTAAGCCCTACACCTCAAACTGAATCTTTAGGGTTAAGGGTTTAGGGCTAGCACGAAGGGCTATTGTAGTGCAGGTATATTAAGGCCCTATTAACTCCATATTAAGGAGCTATTTTCGTGGGGGCATTGACCTAACCTGAACCAAATGTCCCAGGGAAACACGTGGATGTAGGCGTTGGCATTCCAGCAGGTCTTGTGCCTAATGTCTCCACAGAGGTGCCATGGTTTGACACCAATCGCCTTGCAGCATGGCTCTAAACTTAAGGTTGCGGATCTCCTTGATTTCCAAGCCGGATGTTGACTGTCTTTGAAGAACAGTAGCATGTTCACGGGAAGCTCACATCACACCCAAGGGATGCTGCACCTTGCTCAGCTGTCCCTGCATTGTTTTCAGCAGCGGTCCACTGAAGTCCTCGCGGCCCTAGCCACCAAATAGCTGAGTTTGGGGTTTAGGATTTTGGGGCCTAGAATTTGGGGTTTAGGATTTAGGATTTAAGGTCTGCTGCAGGCCTACAAGGCTGCAGCGCACAGCGCAGGGACTGCAGGAGCCAGAGGAGGTAGGGATCATAACTCCTAAGCCCTAAACCCTAAATCATGAACCCTAAACCCCCTGCAAAAGGTACCCCAATCCAGGGTGTAACAAGCTGAGAAGGATCATATGAGCTATAGGCTACACTCCATTCGCTTAGACAGTCCTTATCATACTCCCCTGCATAACTACCTATATCATATATATATATATAACCCCCTTTAAGCAGTTAAGGCAGTAGCTCATATAGGGCTTAATAATGAGGCCTAACAGGATTTCCACATCTGGGGTTGTAACCCTAAACCCTAAACCGTGAACCACTCAAAAAGGAGCTGCCGCGCATTTCGCGCATTCATGGAGCAGTCACTCCCGGGCCCCGCCGTTTAGGGTTTAGGGTTTTCAAGACTTATTGCACAGCCCAAAGGGTCCATGTAGCTAGATATAATGTGCATGTGTGTATATATATAGGGTTTAGGGTTAACAGTGTAGGGTCCATGTAATATATGTGGGCTTGTGTAGTGTAAAGGGTTAAGGGAAGGCCCATGTAGCTGAATAATATATATGCTTGGGCCACAGACTAGTTATGTGGGAAATCCTCATGCCTTAACCCTTAAACCCCAAACCCTAAACCTTAAGCACCAAACCCTTGACCCCAAAATCCTACAGCTTCAACTCTCATGTTGCACTCAATTTAGCATAGGGGTTCGCAATTCGATTTTTTGGGGGTGGAAATTATTCAGGATCTGCTATTGTTTGAGGGGTCCGGAATGAGAAAATTGTCTGGTGCCCAAGTTAAGAAATTATTGTTTTTCTAGCTAGGTTAGCGTTGCTCTCAAGCCCTTAAAGGATTTTAATCCTAGAGTCCTGGAGCTCTGGCACCAGAGCTGTTACGTATCAGGCCTGATATTAGAGAATCCGAGATTCTGTCAACTCAGAGACCCCAGCTCCATA